TGTCATCATCAAACATGCTGTTATGTTAAACTTATATTAAAGTTTTTCTTCATTACCCATTCAAGCCGTCTCCAGCCATTATTAGTCTCAAAGTGGGTTCCTCGTCATCGAAAAATGTATCTCTGTCAGGGAGCTTGTGGATGTGCTTGATTTGGAGCAGCTAAGAGATTATGCACAGAAGAAACTTCCTTCATGGGAAGTTTACTTGAGTGTTGACAGCTGGAAAGAAGAAGAAAAGTCAGACATGAAGACAGTCATCAGACTCCTGAAAGACATTTCGCAACAGATAGCAGGCATGTTACATGTGCCAGCTTCAGATGCTTTAATTGAACATTTCTGCCAGCAGATCTCTTCTGAGACAGCGAAGTTTCGGCCTTTCAACCATCCCTTATCTTGTGGTGGCAAGAGAGATATAACAGCGAATGCCATTTCATGCTAAAATCATGCCAAGAAGAATTCCTCTGAGGAGAGAGAAGTACGTGCACTGACTTGCTCTAGCATTACTCGATGGGAAGTGCAACGTCTGAATAAGAGTAGCACCAAAGTTTTATTGATGAATGTTGATGTAGAGATTTCAAGACACAGTTACAGGGGGAGCAGCTTTTGAAGTAGACAGTATTTTCATAAAGATGCAGTTGACAATGCAGTTTCTTTTATTCTTTCACCAGATAATGTGTCCTACTTGTTTTGGGGCATCAAAAAAGGTTGCCCTTGAAGGCAAAAACCAACATTTCCCCAGCATAATACTAAAGTGGCTATGAACTGCGATATGCAACTCATACATAGAGTCAATACCAGAAGCAGATAAGCTGTTAAGGCAAACATTTTTTCCATATGATGGCCACTGTAACTCATGGAGAAATGAAACTCTGCAAGCCCAGGTTTCTTTGTCAATGATACCTTTGAGGTTATTAGGTGAATGATTGAGGCAGAAATTCCAATGCAATGTGATTCTTGCAACAGGCAGAGCCCGCTCACTCATTTCTGAGGTATGGATATGAGAACCATATTGCTTGCAGAGATGATGTCTGCCGGCTAGGAGCAGCAAAACCAGTGAGATGCCAATAAGGAGTTCAGTTGCAAAGGCTGTCTGTTACTATTTCATTTCTTTGATGAGTTGAAGAAGGAATTTGAATAAAAAAGATAATTCATCTAATCTTCTCTCCATTATCAGTGATATTGCACATATAGCTAATATCTTCCTGGGACATCGAATGTGCATCCAAAATCAGCAGCTTAAGATTGAAAAGGTGAAATCAGAAATCAACAATCACTGCAAAGCCATGGGCATATGTGACAAAGCCTTAGTAGTAATAGATTTAAGGATGAAGTTTGATTCCATGTACTTCAAGGTAAAAAATGATTGATCATTATGGTAAAAGTGGAATGAACTGGCATGGTACAATGGTAGAGTATTACAAGATAATCCTTGCTGAAGAACAGCAAGGGGGCAGTCTTACCTGTTGCAATGTCACAGAAGATGTACTTCAATCACATCTCCAGTGAGGATAATAAACAAGATGGAGGCAATTATGCTTTGTCTGAAACATGATCTTTTCAAGGTACTAGGCGAATCACTTTGCAGAGTGACATTGCAAGCTGCTATCAAAATGTACTGGTGCTGCTCCTCCTTCCAGCTTTGAGCTATGCACACAAGATCCAGATTGACAGATTCATTCACACAGAGACACGAGATGGAAAGTTAGTGTTAAATGCACACTTTGCCAAGGTGATGCAGGGCATCAAGTCATGACTGATTGAAGGGAATAATTACATCACATCTGCACAAGCTGTTACTGCATTTTTGTCTCATGTTGGAATGCCCATCTGTGTTGCTGAACTTATTGAGCATGACCGTGAGCAGCTGTAGCAGTTTACTGAAGGCATAGCCGTGGTGCAAGGCCAGCATAACAAGTTTGTGTACGAAGGCCCAGTTGACAGGTTTTCTGATCCTGCTGATCGAAGACTAATTCTTTCTGATATACCAGGTTTCTCCATCCATGCCTTTGCTTACTCAAGCATTGGACCTGAGATTCATGTGGACATCAGTCTGGAAACTGATCAATGCATCCTGAAGTCTGGAACACCAAAAGGAAAGGAACAGGGAGAAGATCTGGAGAAACAAATCGATAAGGGTGAAGATGATCGTTGAGTAGTGACAATGACATAGCAGATCAAGAAGCAACAGATAATGAAAGTGGTTGTGACAGATCCTAGGTTTGGACTATTGACTAGTGTGAGCACAGCTGGCATAGGTAGAAAGCACAGTGTAATGTGTTTGATCCCAATAATAAGAATGAAGTTTAGTCGTGTCGTCTGATTCTATGCTATCAAGAAAGTCATGTTTTTGTAGCAGTCTGGGGAACTGGGCATTGTTAAGATCAGGAAGGGTGATGAAAACATGTACAGCTCTGTCCCAAATACCTACAAGCTTGCTTTCTTGTTCTCATGTGGGTGGAGAACTTGACCAAGCACAGAGTAAATGTATGGCAGGAAAAGAAAACCATTCACAAATTCCGAGAGGATATCAAAGAGCTATTGAAGCTTGATGAGACAGATTCTTCCTTCAAGAGAGGCCCAAGAAGTATTCAGGGAGATGTAATCTTCCAGCTGAGAGTGAAATCAGAGCAGAGATAACTCGTTTGAGGAAACTATCTAAGACAGTTGCGAGTTCTTCTAGGATTCGCATATTCACCACATCTCAGCTGTCTGTCTTGGTGGAGCTTGTGCAGTCCACACCAACAATAAAAATAGGTGCAGCATTTGAGATTTTCAAGGATAAGTTTAGAAATGATTTTGGACGTGAGAATTTTCCATCTGATCAGCAAATCAAATTCAAAATTACGCAGCTCAAGCATGCTGCTAATTAGAACACTGTGGATGATAATGTTGATCGTGAGGGGACTGTTATGGTATAATAAAGCTTTGTCTACATCATTCATTAGGTGACGAAAGCTGCCCTAGTTTTGCTTCTGTGATATCTGTTGTGATTGTACTTGTGTCTCCCTGTTGTTCTCCCTGTCTTTGTCTCTCTGTAATTGTTTCTCTTTATCTGTCTCAGTTTTTGTCTCTCTTTCTCTTCTCCCTCTCTCTGGGCTTCTGTCTGTCTCTTTCTCCCTTTGTGTCTGTCTGTCTTTCTCTCCCCGTGTTTGTGTGATTGCATTGTTTTTATGTAACAGTCACGGCTGTCTGTCTCATTTCTCCTTGTATGTATGTTAACTTTCTCCTGCTATTCTTGCTATGTGCCTCTCCTACTTGTTTCATTTCACCCTCTTTGGTTGTTAATGTCTGCTCATCTGGCACAAGAATAAAGTGGATGAAGAAAAAGAAGTTGAAGAAGATGCAGCTGATGTTCTCTTACTTTTGTAGCTAATAAGAACCATGGTACAATGCATTTTCACTTGTTGCAGCTGTTTTTTAATGTCTCACAGATAAAGATACAGAACTAGAACAGTTATTACTCCATGATACTGTAGCAGATAAAGAGGAAGGGTAGATAAGTCCCTAAACGCTTTACAATTATCGTATTTTATTTTTCTTATAACCCAGTTATAATGAGATATTGAATGGAGCACAAATCATACAACAGTCCTTAATATATACAATAACTGATTGTCATGAGAGGGATGCCCACCCCTTCTGGAGTCCACCTAATAACTACCTGATATTATGAGCATGAAATGGTGTATCACAGAAAACTATGCAGATTTAGGGTTTTAAGATCATTCCCTTTTCTGGACTGTAGTCATTTTTTGGTGAAAACAAATTCCGGTATGGGTAGGGACTATTTTCTCCCCCCAAAACCTGCAATTTTGTTCTGGTTGACTAGTGCATCAGGTGTTAAAAAATATATAATATGGGAATACTGGGTTTACTGTAAGTGAAATGGCTTTGTTAGTAATCAAACAGTAATCAAATATCTTTTAACTGTAGGATGCAGGAAAATGTGGAAATTGATCTTGACAACCTTTTGTGTCAAGCTTTTTATAAGAAGCTAAACAAAGCTAGTAGCTATTCTCAGTCTGTAGCAGAAAGATTTTTTCAAGGCCTTTCTTTTAGCCAGTGAAAATGAATAATAGTCAAGAAAGATCGAAGTATCTAAAAACACCACAAGAATAGTAATATTAGATCTTATATGATAATAATTGGAACTTCCCAGTTAGAATTAACTAAAAGAACTAACAGAAAATTCAGAATTTGTGTATTTGTTGACTCATAAATAGGGCAAACCTTAATAATCAATGTAAAATCATGACAAATGCTTAAGCTATGTAAGATGTTGTGTAATAAGAAACTTAATTGCTTATTCATATAATTTTTTAAATTTAAATTCCTTTCCTTATATTACTAATAATTTCTTCCAGCAAATTATTCATTTACTTGACTTTTGAATAAAATAATTATCATTGTCACTTTCCATGGAAACAATGCACTTTGTCATTTGAAATAATTGTTATCACTGTCTCCTAACTATAGAACTTGTTGTGTTTTTTTTTAAAGAAAATTGACTAAATTTATGTAACTTACAGTAACTGCAAAACAAATGTTTTTCTAAATAAAAAGCTAAACATCATTGCTTATAGTGTTAAAAGTAACATACATTGTTAAAGTTATTTTATATTAATGGGCTTTTTTTAGGAAAGAGGAAATACTCCCTTACATCTAGCTGCAAAAACTGGTCAGTCTTCTCAGGTGGAGCTGTTGTTTATTTATGGTGCTGATCCTATGGCTCAGTACAAAGATGGAAAAACTCCTATAGATTATGCCAGGTAATATATTGTAACCACTAGTATAAATATATATTATTTCTACTTTTAAGGACAATGCTACTCTTGTATGTGTATGTGGGGAGTTAAAAAACAACAACTATAAAAAGGCTTGCAATAAAGCTTAAACAAATACAAAATGTTTCCTACATTTAGTGTTGAATGATTTTTTAACCATCTGTGTGCTGGGTATGGTCTAAAGGATTAGTCTGGTTGACCATATATCCATACTTGTGTTTTCACTTCACATGTATTTACAACTTTTTATTCATTTATGTAAATGAAAAGTTTTGCAAGTTTCACATTTTTATAGTACATATATTTTTTGATCAATAAACCATGCAATAAACAAAAACATTTTAGTGGTTTTCATTGTCTCCTACAATAAAAATTTGTTTAATCTTATCGAGGTGGGTAGGGGTCAGAGGAAATGCCATCGTGTTTGTAGATTTACCTTCAATATTTTATTAAGCTATTTTTTTTATAAACATAAGTCAATAAGTTTGGTATCAAATTGTAGATTATAATTCAAATTTTAGTATTATACATTAGTTAGTTTATTAATTTGAAAGTAAATATTTAAAAAGAAGGCTAAATATAGAGTTTTGGGTGTCACGTGGTATGTGATCTTCTGGGTTTGGTCAGATTATATTTTATGACCCCCACAATACAAAGTCTGTAGTTTCGTATGAATTAGAAACTCAAATGTACAATATTGGCAAGCTAGAATATAAAATAAGAACCTCCTACCTTTTCTGTTTGCTGAGATATGATAATATTTAGTGAACCCACCATATTGGCTCCACCCACCACTTCATCATTTGAGAATTATTTATATATGCCTACTTTTATATAACAACTTCATAATCAATTGAAAGATATATATTTATTCCACATAATTCTGTCAGTCTCCCTAAGTTATTTATGAGAGAAATGCTCTTATATCATTGTATAGTTTGAAATATTGCTATCAAGGCTATTTTGTGAACAGAAATTATATTTTTTAGACCCAAATACAATTTAGTTAGGAAGCCTGATAAATTACAGTGGATTTTTGTGGTATTGGTATAGTAAGTTATAATTTTTTTGTATTCCAAAATGCTTATATAAAGTCTACAAAAGTTATTATTTTTCTATCTCCATGTGAATTTGGACGAGGCTTAGCAAGTATGGCTCACGAGTGCAAACAAAGACTTCATAGCATCGTAAACAGTAGAGATTATTGTTTTCCAAATATTCTTTATTTACTGTTTTATGCTTGAAGAAATATAACTGACATTTAAATATTTATTTGAACACATTAGTTATACATATATACATATGTAATGTATGTTACTGTATTTTACAAAGTAAGACCTTGTGTTATTTTTCTACTCGTTTACATTGAGGTAGAATAAAAACAAATTATACAAAACTAAAGACTTGGCAATTCAGGAAAAGTTTATTTATGTAATTTGTGAAAACGTAAGAAATAAATTTATCGCTGATCAACTGATCTTAACACATGAAAAGGAACATCTTTACATAAACACCTGGTTGAACTTGCAATTTGCTGGTGAATAATTTGTTTCTCAAGTTATAATCAAGAAGGCTAAGCCAAGAATATTAGCCCAACCAAAATGAGCCATATTTATATTACTGGAAACTACACATTTATTGGTTACTGTGCAAGCATGGTAATATAGGAAACAGGATATCTGTAAGCATTTACACATATTTACACCTATACCAACACTAAATCCCGACCACCAAGCTAGATAACTAGCAAGTTTATTGGATAGGATACAACTTTATACTTTGTAAAGAGCCATATCATAAATATTTTATCTCACTTTTATAAAGTTCTTCAGATAATTCTTGTTGCAACCGATGTGTTATGAAGAAGCCGGCAAATTCTATCCTACTGTGTTCTCAGAGCAGTGATTTGAATAGTTTCTGTAGGATATTTCTGCTTTTTGATTTATTGGGTCATCTCAGACTTTCAACAAAGTAATAAGCATTTTATAAGACTTTAGACAATTGTCATTGTAACCATTATACTGTCAATAAGTTGATATATTCTATCCCACTGTGTTATCAAAGTAGGGAAAATTCTGGGAATTGCACCACATGTACTAATTTGATATTGATCGTGTCAAAGTACTCAAAGTATGGTAACACCTAAATAGGAATGGTGATTTATTGCTTTATATTCGGCAGGTTTCTACTTCAGCCGCTAACAATAGAATAACAATAGGAAAAAGATTAGAAGAAACTGTTAGGAAATTTACTTGGAACTTTACTGTCCCTACTGAAAAGAACAGAGTACTATTCATTTTGTTTCTTGTAATTTCTAACTCATAAAATAACTACAGAAAATGTGAAAGCATAAACTCTGACCATAAGTACTTTGAAATTTTGTAAACACTATTAACAATACTATACATTTTATTTTGCAACCTTTATTTTTGTTATAATTTGTTTACTTACCTACAACCTGGAGAAATAAGTATAATGTTACAGTACAAAAAATAACAAATAAAATATAAGGCTTTACTGAAAATAAAAATGTTTGATATTTAATTACTGTGTTTTTTATTTTTCATTTGTTTTAAATGTTTATTATCGTAAAAGTAACTAAAATCATAAAATAGAAAGTTGTTAATTAAGATAATTAAATAAAAATAATAAAAAACTTTCATGGGGTATACGTGCCAGAAGCTTCCACATTACAATGTTCGATAGGGTCATGTTGATGCACATGTGCTGTGTAATTTTCAACTTCTATCTGGGTATTTTTAGTCAGACAGGGTTCAAAGGTCAATAAAACAAAAATGAATAAATATGAATAGATTTATACTGTTAAGAGATTTAAGCTATTTAGAATAAAAATTTGTGGTTTCTATTACAATTTTCAGTTATTCTAGAACAAAAAGTGATTTAGATTTATTTCCTAATTTTTATGATGGTTACGAGGTCGGTCAAATTGATCAACACCATATAGAGCTAATATTAACAAAATAACAGATTAAATATAAAATCTTATTTAAAAAAACATTTGATGATTATCTAGAAGGATATAGAGATTACGCAAGTGAAATTTGAATAGTTTCAGATAAAGAAAAGTACATTGGATAGACAACATTCTGAAAGAAAATATTCATGAGCAATTCTTTAATAAAAAAATGTTAAAACATAATTCAAAAACCAAATATTTTGTGTATGAAATCCTTGTAATGTTTACTAATAATCTGCAAAATTTTGTAAAGACTTGCTTACATTTTCAATAATTATAGTACAATTATTCTCATAGATACTTTCCTGGTTACGGGCTGGGTGGATTCCACCCAGCCCATAATGGAAGAGTTAAGATGATTGACACAATTTTCCAGAAACTGATTTCAATTTAAGTCTAGAGGCTTTATGAAAACAAAAAACTACTACAGTAGTATTTATTGGCACCATGCAAAATTTATTCATTAAAACTATGTTACTGGTTATTTCTGGTCAATTTCAAGATATTGCTGATTAACAATTATTGTTAGTCCCAAAATTCTTTATTACAAATGATGTTTCTTGAAATATGAGTTTGTTTCTAAAATGTCATATAATTTATTTAAGCTCTTTTTATATTTGTACAGTTTTATATTTCACCATGTTCTACATTTAATCCAGAACAAATGTTCATAGATAGTACCATTTTCAACAACACCAAGAAGACTTTTCAACCAGACTAAAAAACTTTTTTATTTCTTTATAACAAAAAAGCTGCTCAGATGTATATCAGATGCTGATACAGACAATCAAAATACTTAGAACTTGTCTGTCCACCAGATATCTTATGTTCTCCATTGCATGCTTTAAACAACTATTTTCAGTAAAATATATTTTAGATTAAAATATTTTGCTGTTTTACAAGTCAGATAATAAAATGTTTCTACTTTTGTACTTAAAAGAAAACAGATGTAATAATTATGTAGATTATACAGGCCTGTGATGGTTTTATTGTCTTGAAAGTATTACATGTTCTATAGTAATTCCTATATGCTAAATCTGAAAATGATATTTATTTTTCTCCATCATGTACAGATTTTTCATAAAACAGTGCATAAAATAAAGACCACAACACGTAATTTTGAGAATAAAAGTTGTAAATTTCACAAAAAAAACAGGATGAATGAGAATACTTATTCATTTGACATCACTATTCTTCCCTTTGTTTGTATTTTTGTTAACAAGCGTAATAATAAAAAATGTTCATTGTTGTAAATGAAATAATAATTTGATTTAAGTAAGAGTTTTTTTTCCTGATTTGAAAAAAATCCTTATGTGATAAAAAAAAGATATATATTATTTTTGAAATCTACGCATCTGAATTGTGGAAAGTGTGTTATTAATATCAAAACAACTTTTATGATGTTTACATTTGCAGTACTGTGTTATTTTAGTTGAGCACTTGAAGCATATAACTGTATGAATAGTGATGACTGGTAACACTATTAAAAGCTAAATAATGTAATACTGAATCCACCTTGGACAAGTTAGGTTATTGGAGAGTAGTAAATTTTTATCAACAGTTTTAACAAATTTTGAATCTGTATATTCTATGTAAAGAGATGAATTATCTGATATTCTTAAGCTTTACTGCAGTGGTTTCCAAACTGTGTCAAGGCAAGTCACTAGGGTGACATGAGAGTTTCACTAAACAAAGAATAATTAAGAACATAAAAAATCTCTACAAAAAGAAGTATAGTATTTGGCAGTAGGGGTGTTATACAAATCAAAGTAAGTGGTTTAGGGTGTTGTCAGTGAACAAAGTTTGGAAACTAGTGCATTACTAAGTGTTTCAGAATAGTGTTTTATTGTCATGTAATAATTATTGAATGAGATAGAATAAATTTTAAGGTTTAAAAAATTATATATATTTTTATGTTTATGTATTGTTTTTCAGTCAAACAATAGTTGTAAGTAAATAGAACATGAAATTTGTGTCTGATGTTTTATAATAGACACAGAAGAAGACCTGAATTCACTACACTTGTTCACAATTCAAAGCATATATTTTTCATTAGCATCACCTTTTCAGTATACATTTTACCTTATATTTTTCCTTCAGGACAGGTACCTGCTAGTGCTTTATTCATCCAAATGAAGTGTTCTTCAAATGTGGTATTTTACATTTTATTTTATTCAGAATTTTAGATATAAATGTTTTTTTTTTTATGATGTTTAAATATTATGAATGTTATTGTATTTTAATCTATGTATGGTGTATGGTTACGATGATTTGAAATCCAACAGAGATGCTGGACATACAGATTTGGTGGACAGACTAATAGAGTGTCAGTATGAAGTGACTGATAGACTAGCTTATTATCTCTGTGGTAGAAAACCAGGTAAGTCGGACCAAAAGTGCTGATTTTATATATATATGTATTTAAGGTTAGTTATCATGTTTTTACACATAGGAAAGGCTTGTGCACTATCTCATGCACAGCCATTCTGGGGCTTTTTGTTCTTTATGTAATAACTATGACACATCACTAATATAATGCAAGACTTTAAGTCATTGTTTCCCAAACTGTTGTTTAGAACCTTCAAGGGGATCAGAGTGTGTGAAATATTTGTAATTTTCCATTTTCACAGTAAACAGAATCCCACCTAAACCCCATTGATAGTTGAATTAACTTAGGTTTGTTATTTTAATATTTTAGTGTTTGGTGTTATAAAAATATTGGGGGGAGGGCACAGGTTGTGATAAGCTAAAGTTTGAGAAACACTGACCTAAATCATCGTTTAGGAACTCATCTTTAAATGCTAAACATTGACTGCTTGGTTGAGAAAGTGAAAATTTCACAAACATTGGTTTTCATTCTTTCTAGTTTTAAGTTAATGTTTAGTTAAATAACCATTAAGTTTTACTGAGACTTTTCTTAAAACACTTGAATAAAGCATTAAAACACTATTTAATACATAAACTAAAAATTAACTTGCTCATTTCATTCATTCATTCCAAAGTTCTAGTAACTACAACTACCTACTTCTTTGGACTGAAGATTAATAAAAAAATGCTATGGTGTTAAAGTAGATATAGATAATATCCACAAAACCTTTAGAATTAATATGAAACCACTTTATACATCATCCATCAAAATTTGTCCATTATTCATACATCTGAGTTTTGCTTTCAGACCACCAATCTGGACAAGATTTTATTATTCCAGAAATGTCTGACAGGTGAGTTGATTTGTATTGAAAGGTATATCACATCATAAAATCAAATATATAATATTTATGTACAGAAAGGAAAGTACAAATTAAAAAAAAAAGTAAACTGTGACAATTTGTAATTAAAATATAAAAAATATTTCACTTGTCTTTCATTGATAACAGACATTGGACAAAGACATTTTTATTTAAATGTAGTCTCACTTCTTGTTACTTATTCTTATTTACAGATTTTTTTATTTGGATTAGTGTGTACCAAAACTAATACATTTTCCTTTTTTCATATATGTGTAGCATCAAATTGTTTGGCATCATTTCTTTTGTCATTATACTCTGTACTGCTTTATCTGTTTATGACATTATAGCTAGGTCCACCATGTAATATTGCTATTATACTCTATCTGGTCAGTCTGGACACTAGAATGTGTTAAATTCGATGACGAGGAACCCACTTTGAGACTAATAATGGCTGGAGACGGCTTAAATGGGTAATGA